GATGGCTTTTAAACTACCATCAGATTAAGGCTGTGCAAATAACTTTTTATTTGTTAACTTAAACTGACCTGACAGCCCCTGGGCAAGGTGGGCTCTGTTAAGGGGGAGGAGGTATAGTTAGGAATCTCACTGCTCACTTGTCAAACAACTTGCAGACCATAAAAACTGTATGATTATGATAAAAAACCCTGTCTCAATTTAACCCAATGCCCTGTAATGAAAAAAGTTGAAAATTGCAATAAAATGTTTTTACATGGTATTGGTAAAAGGAAGGCAGGGAGAGTATGCAATAATTGTACCTGTATATGCATATGGGTAATCATGCAAAGACCTAAAATAAAGTCCATTATAAAAAATTTATACAATTAACTACAAAAGGATTAGTACATCTCAACTGGTATACATGAATACAACAGATGGGAGACTAATTTAAAGCTAAGAATGGACATAAACGGACAATGCATAAGAAATCACAAATGAGATATACAAGAAGCAAGGATCAAGAGTGTCTTTATGTGTATAGAAAATGAAAGGATATAACACCATGTAGAAGAAGTGTGCATCAAATTGCGTTAATTTTTTTGCAAGAGAGATCCAAAATAAGGTGGTCCTAAGTGCTGAAAATTAAACTATCTGATTTGCTGATTGGTCACCAGCATCATAACTGCCAGTGGCTACATCTTGAGGCAAAGAAGTTAACTTAACTGGACTGATAGCCGGAAAGACAACTTTCAAAGATTCATTCATGAACCTTTTCCATCAACCTCTACTGTGTTTTATGCCCTCATTTTTAAATGTAACTTTCCTTTGCAAAGTACTGTACAAGTTAATATCTCCATTAGCCAGAATCCCTCTTGGCTGGAACACTCCAATACCCAGAATTAAAATTTGTTCGTAATTTTTCCGAAAATTTATCACAATTCTCGGTTTTGGAACACTTTTCTAAAAAAAATTGAAAAAAATTCTGGGGGAAAAAAAAATCGGGTCTGGGAGCAAATTCCAAGGGTGAAATAATGTAAAAATTCAAGAAACTTTTCCCAGAACCCGGAAAATTTTTGGGGATGGGGGATTTTTCCGTGTTTGAGAGCCATCTTGTTACTCTGAAATCTCTCATTCCCAGAAGTGCTCTGCACCAATTGTTCTGGCTAATGGGGATATCACTGTAGATCTATGTGATTGATGGCTGTGTCCCAAATAATCATTAGTAGAAGTTCTTGCAACTGAGGGATTCCTTGGAGGAAGAAATTTCACTTCCAAATACAGTACTGCCAGTCTAATTCACTGATTCATAAATCTGACAATAACCTTCTTTGAATGCTGGTCAATGTGGAAATCTGAAATGTTATTTCCAATGATGCTGTCACACACAAATGACATTGTATCCTGATGATGATTATGGTTATTATTATTATTAAATTATTTTATCTATACAAATTACCTGACTGTCCTAATGAATACATATACAGTATATAATATAGCTTGAAACTTCCTTTAAAATTTATTGATCTTATTTAACCTCACCTTAAGATCATCTTTAAAAAACTTTCCTGAACTTCACAACCATATAACTGTTTGTGTGCTAACAGGTTATACAGACCAACTGAGTAATACCAATCCTTCTAAAGACTTTGCCTAAAACAACTAGTTCCCAGTTTCCATAAAAATTTATGGCACAACACAATGGGTTTGTCTTTAAAGTCACTACTTCCTACCTCAGCCTTCATTATTTTGTATTTTAATTTCCCACAAGACAGGAGACTGGTTAGCACATAATTGAGGAAACTTAAATCACAATGTTGATTTCAGTTTAGCTTCTACAGTTTAGCGATGTTGTATTAATGAGAGTGAATTTGATGTGAAGCTCCCTAGGTTTTTGTAATTATATTTTCACAGATGTCTTATGTACAGCAGTACAGCGTGATGCAGATGGCTGACACAGGTGCAATGAGACAGGGACCGTGTACGACCGTATGAGATAAAGGCAGTTACAGGGGGAGGGAGCTTCACATCATATTCACTCTCATTAATACAACATCTTAAATGTATTGTAACATGGAAACAAAACAGAATCTGGCATTTTACTATAGACACATTGTGGTTTAGAATTATCCAAGGATTTCATCCTCCAATTTAATGTATTCTTTGCTGAATCACCCTATACAGTTCTTGGAAGTTGAACACTCTCACAAGAGGAAAATAGATAACGAGTTTTGGAATAATGCACAAATTAAGTCAACCTTATAGTTCAGCCCATGTTTCACTAGTCCAAAATTTACTTTGACTGATTGCAAACAAATTAAATTTCACTATCTGAATAAAATTGTCAGTTAGTCTTTATGAATAAACTTCAATACTTCATACCCTGCTAACAGGCACCTATAAGAATGATGTCTTCAATTAACTATTATATTATTCTCTTCTCCATCTTACCATCATAAATGGTTGGTTTGAAAAAAAAAAAAAAAAAAAAATTAGATATATATATATATATATATATATATATATATATATATATATATATATATATATATATATATATATATATATATATATATATATATATATATATATATATATATATATATATATTATATATATATATATATATATATATACAGTGACCCCTCCGTTAACGAACTCAATCCGTTCCAGAAGGTCGTTCGTTAACCGAAAAGTTCGTTAACCGAAACCATTGTTTCAATGGGTTTTTGGGTAATTGGTTACAGCTCACCGAAAATTTCCTAAATTCAACAAAAATGGTAGAAAAGTTCACTTACTTTGAGGTGTGTATGTAGAAGGCTCCTGGAGGATGATGATGATGATGATGATGATGATGATGATGATGATGGGATTTAGAATGGGGCTGGAGGAGAAGGAAGAAGAGAAGGCATTGGGGTGGAAGAGAAGTCGCCCCATGGTGCCATTTCACCCATAAAATTTTAGCTCTCTGGTGTAATTCAAGATTATTTTCTTTAAATCAACACTGCACTGCATTATATATTGTCAATATGCAAAATATATTTCAAAATGACCAATAATTTGCTTGGAAACACAGAAAAAAAGCGTTTAGTTGAAGAGAGTCTCAAGCAAGATGTTACCTCCAGTGAAAACAGAGAGAGACTAACTCCTGTTTGCTGTGTTAAGAGGCTGGATGCCGTGCATTAAACTAGTCACTTTACCTTCAATTATGTTCAATAATTGTTAAAATGACTAAAAAATTGAATATTATACTTTTAAAATTATTGAATAGTATAAACTTCTTGATATTTACTAAAATAGTAAGAATTTGCCCCAGAACCGATTAATGTATTGGCGACTGATACTAAAGCTGGTTGCTCCGGTCAGTGCAAGCGTAAAAATGATGTTGAGGTCGGTTCGTGAAGAACTTTTGTTAACCAAATTTTTTTTTTTCGCTAACCGACTGAAGATCTCTTATGGAAGGCAGTTCGTTAACTCCAAATTACGTTAACTGGAGGTGTTCGCAAATCTATATATATATATATATATATATATATATATATATATATATATATATATATATATATATATATATATATATATATATATATATATATATATATATATATATATATATATATATATATATATATATATATATATATATATATTCTCTCTGAACAACAAACATTTAACTTGAAGTATGCTAAACATATATGGGAGCAAGCAATACCACTCTTTACACTGAAGGAACCATAGAGTGGTACAACTTCTTCAAATAAAATTAGTTCAGTAAATGCAAGAAAAATGGGCATCTTAGTATGATTCTCTCTGCAACTAGAGCAATCAAAAAGGATTCTTTACTTCTTAATTAACTTAAAAAATGGGAAGTATACTATAATAGATGAAATTTTGACAGAATTTGATAAAAATATAACTATGGTCCTTAAAATTTGAACGGAGTTTGGGACTGGTCACCACAGTAACCTCACCCCATGTAAAGTACAGTATTACCCCGCTTTACGCGGTTTCACTTACGCGATTTCTCACATACGCGGTGCCTCGCCAGAACCGAACTTTCACTTTCCGCGGTTCATCTACCCATATACGCGTGAAGTATATATATATTTTTTTTTTATTTAGCTCATAAAATTCATACAAATTACCCGGCCAGAATATAATTTACATTGCTGGAATTCTTACAATTTGATGATCATTTTGAATATAAACATCATAGATTTTGCATTAGACATACAAATTTTAGATGTAATGTTTACTCTGAGTAAATATGTTATCTTTTGTGCAAAATATATGACATTTATATTCAAAATGTTCCTGGTCTTACAAGGAATCCAGCAATGTCAATTATATTATCCTAACTTTAGTCTGAGGTATTATTTGTTACTAAAAGTTAAAATTAGCTTTTTCACCAAACATTTCTCTGGTAGGGAGGCAAGTTGGGGTACTTTGATTGACAGATAGTGTCATGAAGAATATTTTTTTTTTAACTGAAGATATTTGTTTTAGCTCATAAAATTCATACAAATTACTGGACCAGAATATAATTTACATTGCTGGAATTCTTACAATATGATAATCATTTTGAATATAAACATCATGGATTTTGCATTAGACATACAAATTTTAGATCTAATGTAATAATTTGGTTTACACAAAGCAAGTATTTTATCTTTTGTGCAAAATATATGAAGTTTACATTCAAAATATTCCCTGACCTGCAAGGAATCCAGAAATGTCAATTATATTATCCTAACTTTAGTCTGAGGTATTATTTATTACTAAACGTTAAAATCTAGTGTTTCACCCAATCATTTCTCAGAGAGATAGGGGCCAGTGAGCTGGGAAGAGGGGGGGGGATTTGAGTCTATTATTTGAATGGACATTAACCTGGCGACTGTATTTCTCTTAAATATTAATTGTGTGAGCATACCATCATAAAATTTAGATGTTATTTTTACTACAACATAGGTATTGTGTCGGAAAAAGTGGAGTTTGGGGGTCGGGCCAGTCTCTATCGGAAGTAATCCCATATGTTCTGTTGTTCCATTTACGCGGATTTCACTTTCCGCGGTACCCTGTGGGTTCAATTGACCATGTAAATCGGGGTACTACTGTATAAGTTGTTTGGACTGATAGCTGCATTTAGTACAATGATTGAAATCAATGGCTAAATTATGAAGCAAAAATTCTTATCAATATAGTCAAAACATATCACAAAGTGACTTGAAATTCTTTAGCATTTATGAATACAAAAGTTCTACTACATAATTATATTTACAAAAATGAATTTGAAAAGTAGCACAGCATTTGTTAATTTCTAAAAAGTGTTGGAATCAGGCACGAGCAAGTCATATGAAAAGGGAAATATTTCTGTATACAGTTCTGAGTCTCCACTGTTATTCGGCCCAACTTAAGTACACTAATGTATCTAGCAATGCAAAATCACAAAATCCTTGTTCCTTTCAATCCAGATAATTTTGTCTTTGGCGTGCATTATAAACTTCCCTATGTAATCCTAATCTCTTACAAATATTAGCTCTTCAAGATAAAATCATGTTTCTAAACAGGTAGAGAGCTAATTTCAGAGAAATCTGAAAGTCCATGCAACAACAGCTCAGGGCATGTTGCAACAGACTCAAATGGAACCTTTTGAAAGCTAAGCCCAAACATTCACATTTCATATGCTAATGACTTTGGTCACACCAATGTCACACCCTGAACTCCTTTCATTAACTAGACTGGAAGGATAGTTAACCTTTACCAGTTAATCACTTACAAAATTAAATAACAAACTTTTATGCTAATCTATACACTAAAATATAAAAATTCTTGGTCATAGCCTCAAAGTATAACCTATTTAGAGCAAAAAGTCTATTAACATATATTCTACACAGTTTACTTTTATCCATTACCATTCATCTCTTTTCATTACCATTCATCTTACTGTCTATGAATTCTTAGTTCAATTTAGGTTATATACTGCAATTTTTCAGAAGATTCTTTTAATACAAATAGCAACTGCAATTAACTCTTTGTACTTGAATAGGGTATCACATGTACTATTTCACAACAAAGAAATATGCTATCTGAATCAACCATAAACTTTAGACCAGTCTTATCAAGTTCCCTAACTACCAACGAACCAATGACATTGGAGTCAGCCAATACCAATTGGTTTTTCTTTAAAAAGACCATTAAATATTTTGAAGCACATTTGGCAAGCTCTTTAAGTTAATTCCTATGAATATCCGAATAATGTACTTTTAACTGTTAATAACTTTTAGACTGATCAGACAGCTATTCTAATGTGCAATTAGCATACCCAGGTCATCAGTAAAACTATCTGATGAATCCTAGAAATGAATTGCGATTCTAAGTTGGCAGAAAAATTCTGAACTATGCAGATGTAATTGGTTAACAATCCAATCATACAATACATAAACTTTTAACTGACTGCATTATTTGCTTTCTCTCATGAAAATGAGTAACACAGATGAGGTGAATAATCATATGTTTCACACACACACACACACACACACACACACATTGAGTTGCAATCAACAACAGTCAACAACAAAATTGTATTCAGGATGCACCTCAGGTCAGCAGGGACTACTCGAGGTTTTGTGTACTGCATTAGTCATTTCACTTCCACTGGTGTTCAAGTCAAACTTAGCAATACTAGAAGCCAGAAGCAAGTAGTTGTCATCACCAATTGGGGCTTGTCTGAAAGAATATCACCAAATTTTTAATGGCATGAATATTATCTGAAATCACCAAGTTAGTTTGCTAATGAAATAATGATTGCTCAAGGAACAAAATAGTTGTAAATATTTAATACTGTAGTATCACTTGCTTTGAAATGATGAATGAATTGTAAAAACCACTTTACAATTGTTCCTCCAAATTTCTTATGTCTAATATGTAGAGTTTTTCAAAAGTTATAGAGTCTATCAATCACATTCATTTCCTAGCCATATGAGGTGGAACATGTGCATGTGCAAAATACTACAAAATTAGTACAGTATATACTATATTAGAGGATTTGATCCTGAAATCATTCATGGATGTGCCTGCCAAAAACCTGAGTAACAGAATAAATTCACCTTTGATTTAATGTATAAATAATTTGTCACTCCCAGTGTCTCTTGATAATATAGTATCAAAGAAAATTCCTTCTGAAAGTGATCAGAATGAAGTGCAAAATCCAGTGTAAGAAGTTTCCATGTACAAAATGTCGCCAGTTGTTGATTGGAATTTTTTTTTGACATTACAAAATGCTTATGATCTTTATCTACTCTCCGAATCAGGTCAGAAAAAATATTTGATCAGGATTTGAATGAGAAAGAAAACTAAATCAAACTTAACCAATAAGGGGCTAGTAACCCTTTAAAACTGCTGCAGATTTGAGGGAACCTAAAAGATCTGACAGGGAGGTGGCAACAATTAAATCTGACCCCACTTGTTCCAGTCCAAGAGAAAAGTATCAAATCATGCCAAACCCTCCTGAAGAATAGCCGACAGTGATTTTCCAACCTAAACCCCAACTACAGTACAGTATACAGCATTTGAAAGTACTGTACAAATTGATCTGGTCCTAAAACTCTTTAACACAATGATAAATACTATTCATAAACTTACCATTCACCATAAATCCCACATGTACATATGATCTCAACATCCACAAGTACATTTAATGGATTTTTCATTACATATACAATTTATTAATATTCATCTATATTCTAAAACACATTTCAGCATCACTACTACTCTTGCTTCAGTACGTGAATCATTGTCCGATTCTCACATTCCCACTAATTCAATTTACTAGGAATGGGAGGCATGTCCAGTCATCTTTACATAAACCTGTATGTCTGATGAATGTTCCATCCAAATGAATGTCCTATCTATACATTTGCCCCACCATTGGTTTTCATTCAATACAGGTTACAACTTCCTTGAAATGCTTTAACATCATTTGCTAACCCCTACCCCCCAAAAAACCCAGTCTGCCAACCTACAGAAAATACCATTGGATCATTCCATTGTGAGGTTCGTTACAACTTATTCATGTATTCCAGTTATATTGCTAAAGTATAACTACTGTACAGTACAGTATAATCAAATGCCTCTTATAGCATATATTACTAACACTTAGAGTTATATCATGCCACTAATCAGAATGTCCCTGTGTTATAATATGATTTTATATTTAATTTCAAATGTTACTGTGAGGGTCTTTATCGTTACACTGCCCATCTAGTTAATCCCAAGTGTTCATTTCCTCATTTCTGTGAATTGACGGATTCACTCAAGAGTGCTTCATATTAGTAGTAAGTCAACGAATACAGTTCATGACCTTACCTGGTAAATTAGATTAGTCATTGTAGTTTTGAAATTACTGAGGAAAATGTGACTGAGGTTTTGTTACAGGAAAACATAAGGGATGTTGCCAAGCAATTACCATTTCTTTGACATTAATTATGACTGGAGATAACTTATACAATATATTGTAGCACACAAACCTGTAACATTTGCTGATTGATATTTTCAATCATGGCACAAAAACACGAACAAGTGCACGAGGGTCGTTGCTACTGCAGTGATAACGATACCTCACGCTTAACATGTAACAAACTTCACGGGTCTTTGTGGGATCGCAAAGCTCCAGAGAGAACATTCTAGGGTCACGTTAGTATGTTAATAGGAACTTATTTATAATATAAAATTAATTGGACTTAATCTAAATAAGCTTTGTATTGGGATAAAAAAGAAAAGAAAAAAAAAAGAGGTCCATTACTTTGGAACTACAGTACTGTATAGTATTCCCCCAAGTTTGTGGATTTTTAATTCTAGGCTATACGCGGATGACACCCTGGATGTACCCAAGAATGTCTGTGGTTAGTTTTAAAGTTGCCCGCATTTTCGCGGCTGGGACAGGGAGCTATTTGTTCTAGAGACAATACACACACACACAAAACACATACAAATAAATAATATTTGGAAAATCCTGACAAATAATCAGAAAAAAATTTATTAAAAATGTGAGTCTGCCCTCAAGTCCATGCTCTATTAATAAAGTATGTAATAGAGCACGGACTTGAGGGTAGACTGTCACATTTTTAATAAAATTGTTTCTGATTATTTGTGAGAGGATTTTCCAAATATTTATTTATTTGTATGTGTTTTGTGTGTGTGTGTGTGTGTGTGTCTACAAACACACGCACACATATACAATACCACAGGTAAAAGAAAAATTTTTCCTAAGACCAGAAACATAAAGGTAATATACCCCCTGTACATTTCTTTGTACACAAGTAAAAATATACCCCCCACCCCCTCCCGGTCCGCAAATGTTATTTGCGGATTTGGCGATTCGCGGCCATTTTGAGAACCTAACTCCACGAATTTATGGGGATCCCTCTACACACATTTCAAGCACATGTCAATGAAAAAGTACACAAGATAATTAAACATTCTAGCAGTGTTTACAATACAACAGGATCCTTGTCATTCTGTACCATTTAAAAAAAAGCCTCGACCTATAGATACTTTGGCAAATAATGATGGTAAATGCAAAATTTTAGGTAGTTCTGTTTCTTCTGTTACATGATGTGACAATTTTGATTATAGCTGTTTTTTTGGCTGTTAGAGATTTTTTCTTTTGAATGCTTTCAAAACACACAATTTATTAATTTTGGTGAATTTTCAGTTCTGGCTCTCAGGTTGACATTTTCAATGGATGATCCCATTCACAATAAAATAAATAAATTACTTATTTTCATTTTCCAACTTACTTTGATCCATATCTTAAGGTACGTAGAAGTCTTCGCTGGTGATCACGATGCTCCTGTTGTAATTGTGTAACACTAGTAATAACTGAACTGAGGGACTTCAAAGACACAGTTGGATTGTCCAATACAATACCCCCAACAGCAACTTCTTGTGGAGTTCCATAAATGGTGGCACTTTCACATACATCTGCAGAAATTATAAATACCTTTCAATTAAACAGAAAAATCTGAGAATATACTGTGCACAAAAAAGTAACAAAGACTGGTACATGTAACAATATTTTGCATGGTATACTTGTTTACACTGAGGCAGGCAGTCGCATCCATGGCGACATGTGCATCATACAAATTTTTAAATACCTCATAATCAAAAATTTTTCCCAATATTTCAAAAATTGTTAATACTCTGTACGTCTAAAGGCATATTGCTTTCCTCTGCGGCATCACTGTCAAGGTCCCTCTCCTCCCCAGCCTGTCTCTCCTCTGCCTCTGTCCTCCGAGGCACTAACTCATCCCCCAGACTGTTTCTCTCCAGACTCCACACCTTCTTCAATTTTCACATCTAAACTGATGGATAGAAAGACAAGATTTCTTGGGTACAATACCAGCAGGACTGTTTGCAGGATGTTTACCATGCATGGTGATTTATAATATACAGGTATATATAAATTTTTTAATGTTGGCCTAAAAAATAATTTATGGATCAGCACAGCTGTTGTAAAGAAGGAAGAAAGTGTAAGACTGAATTTTGGAGGGCTGGGAATGTGTGGGTGAGGTGGGCCCTATACTGGTACCATATGCGAGATTCAAAATGACATTATACAGGTATCCCTCAAGATACGAACGTCACAGGTACAAAAATTAACTTGTATGAACTTCCTAGTGACACCACTATTTCGTATTATGAAAGCTTTCCCTCCTTATATGAATTTGGGTCCCGGTATAAATTCAAATCACACATCCCCAGGAGTCAGCTGTGGCAGCCACAGCTCCTTACCAGGCTGAGGTAGGAGTTATTATACAGTATAGTCTGCATTTACGTGGTCAATTGAACCAGTGGAGGCCCGCATAAAACGAGAAACGCATAAATGAAATAACAGAACATATGGGATTAATTGAAATAGAGACTGGGCCGACCCCCAAACTCCACTTTTTCCGACAATACGTACGTTGTAGTAAAAATAACATCTTAATTTTATGATGGTATGCACACACAATTAATAATTAAGAGAACTTTCAATAATATTAGGTTGTTTAACACTTACGTTAGTAGAAAAGCTGGGTCGGTACACGTGGATGGCGACTGGTTCCGAGGCAGAGGGCAGATTAGTTGCCCTCCAGTGAATCACTTTCACTACTCGCAGAGGTTTGCAGGGCCTCCCTGACAAACCCCTCAAAGTCCATATCCACACTGTCACTATCACTGACTTGGGCTGACTGTGGTTGTGGTGGGTTGCGGGCGAGGAAGTCCTCAAGATTACGTTGACGACTAGCATTGATGTTGTCGTGATAGACCTGGATATACGGCTCCATAACTTTCGACAGAAGGTTATTAGACACTTCATACCGATGCTTGTCTGGGTCGTTGTCAAGGACGAGCTTAATTTTCTCCCCCAACTCGATGATTTCCTTCACATTATCTTGGCTTGGTCCAGGTAATTCAAGGTTTTTCTTGGGTGGTGGGGGTCCCGGGAAGCCATTGTGAGGGGAATAGAGGGCACAAGAGAGAACTGTATACGCGGACTGAGAACAATGAGACAGGCCTGACTAGGTCAGCGACTTCTACCCTCTGGTGGCAGGGCACGTCATGTTACATTAGACCAATCACAGCTAGCGGCGGAGGGAATGCGTGGGCAGTAAGGATGCGTGGCCCAATCACAGCTAGCGGCGGAGGGAATGCGTGGGCAGTAAGGATGCGTGGCCCAATCACAGTCCGATACGTCATATGACGTCAGCGATAATGTAAGAGTGGCACTTCCCGCGTATGGTCAAGAATGGACCTCGTGGGAAAAAAATGGCGAGGCGGTCTGGACGTCTCCAGCTGTTCGTTGCGTAAATGACCAAATTTACAGCGTAATTAAAACATTTTCATTCTGGCAAGGCACCGCGTAAATGACCAAATGCGTAAACAAAAACCGCGTAAATCCAGACTATACTGTACTGTAGTTATTTTGCTTTATCAATTTTCCCCTAAAACTTATTTTTATTGGCATAAATCTTATATCTTTGGCTTTATAACTAACTGCTCTGCAACATAAAAAAAAAAAACCAAGTACTGTATAGTATATAAGTAGTAGGCAGCTATCAAACAGGGAGGTACTACCGCCTGGGAAGATATTGGAAGCATAATGTGTGGTGTAACGGTAAACCCTGCTGCCATATGGCATCACAAAATTGTGACCAAGTCCCAGGTTGCTGATCTGAATTTCTGCCTCATTTACACACAATTGCGGGGTCTCAATTGTTTCTCTTACTTTGACAACACAACATATATACAGTATATCGTTTTTCACTATTGATCTTTTGTTTTTGATTTTTGTATTTATTTACGGTTCTATATTCTAATTTTTATTATTATTATTATTATTACATATATTTTTCATATTTTTTATTAATTTTTAATTATTATTATTAGTGTTATTATATTTTCACCCCCAGGTCCTGATGTGGGCCACTGACCTGTGCCCTGGTGGGCTAATCCTGTATATTAAAAAAAAAAAAAAATAAAAAAAATAAAAAACATCACTTCTAATAAACATGAAAAAAGTACACACCAACATGTTCACAACCTCCTAGCTCAAAATTGTCTGAACAGCTTTTTAAGTCCATTATTATACACTGCTAGAAGTAGAATTTTATGAGCTTCCCAATGCAGTACTGTAATCAGATTTTTCATATAACCAACAGATTTTGAGAAAATTGCAAAAAATGATTCTCAAATGGTACAATCTTTTTTTTATCTTTTTCGATTATTTTTGTGCCAATGTTTTATATGGATATAAATTATATTGCATCTTGTAGTCCACTGTTACCTGGTATGTGCGGGTCGGATCGTGTTGCGTCTCTGTAACAAAGCGTGTTGATACTTGGGACTTCGTTGTTGAGTGCCAGAGATTGGACAGTGATTACATAAGAGCATCAAGATCGTCTTAGTGATGTGAAAGTGTAAATTGATGTAGGACTTTTATTGTTAGTCGCATTTGTATATTTGAAAATTCACTCTCCACCGACTAGAGGTACAGCAGCCTACAACGCTAGGCCGGGAGGCTTACGACCATAAAATCATTGCCATATGACACGATTTATTTTTTTTATTTTTTGAGTTGTGCTCATGGCTGTGATTGACCATCCAAAGGCCAACTAGAGAGTGTAGTACTGTGACTTTAGTTAAGACAGTTCACAGCGACATCAGTGACCGCCGAGGAGGTTGTAAATAATTTGAAGTTAAGAACAAATTGGAGCTAGTAATTAAGGTACCATTGCCAGCAGTAACCAAGTTGTATTATTTGTGCCACAAAGAATTTTTCTTTCTTTTGTGTGTGTGCTTTCTCAAGGACTGAAATTGTGCCTACAGTCTCTCCTAGACTTACGGCAACCCGGACATACAGCCGCCATGGTCGTATAAAATATTATTCACATTACGTATTTTCGAGTCCCGAAACGTTTGGTCGTAATGTGACCCCGTACGACAGCGTGGGCTGGGCTGCCTCGTGGTGTACAGCATCCATGCCGTAGCCCACTCAGTTGGTGTTTGGTCATCGTTGTTGTTGTTGTTGGTGATCGCGCTGTATACTGACAAAATTTTCGTTTGTAATTCCCTTTAAAATGGCTGGTAAGCGTAAAAGTGAGAGTTCTCGTGGTAATGAGAAGAAAAAGAGACAGTCAATTACTTTTGAGATGAAAATGAAAATAATGCAATACGAAAATGGAAAAATGGTAGCAAACACTTCACGCGACCTTGGCTTCTCTCAATAGACGATATCAATAATTTTGAAGGACAAGGAACGAATCTGTGAGGTAGTGAAAGGATCAGCACCTATAAAGGAAACAATAATAATGAAAAAAAGACAAGGTCCTCTTCATGAGATGGAAAAATTATTTGTGATGTGGATGGAAGATCAGCTGCAAAAGCGTGTACCCTTAAGCCTTCTAACCATACAGGCTAAGGCAAGAAGCCTTTTCGAAAGCCTGAAAGAGCAGGCAGGAGATGAGTGTGACCAAAACTTCACAGAAGTCATGGGTGGTTCCAAAGGTTTAAGAAACGTTACAGTTTGCACAGTGTAAAGGTGAGTGGAGAGGTAGCAAGTGCTGATGTGGGTGCTGCTGAAGCTTTTAAGGAGATAGATAGTGTCATTGTGGTGGGAAATTATTTGCCTGAGCAAATATTTAATGTGGATGAAACTGGCTTATTCTGGAAGCGCATGCCAGAACGGACATACATCCACAAAGAAGTGAAAACCATGCCGGGATTCAAGGCATTTACGGACCGAATCACACTTTTGTTGGGAGGGAATGCAGCTGGTTTTAAGGTAAAACCCTTCATGATATATCATTCAGAGAACCCAAGGGCTTTTAAAAATGTCAGCAAACACACACTGCCAGTGTTTTATCGCAGTAATAAGAAAGCATGGATAACCCTAGCATTGCTTGAGGATTGGTTCCTGAGTTGTTTCATTCCATGAGCCAAGGAGTATTGTCTGCAACAAGGGGTTGCATTCAAGATTTTATTAATTTTAGATAATACTCCGGGACACCCACCACACTTGGACGACCTGCACCCTGATGTTAAGGTAGTCTACCTTCCACCTAACACTACCTCTATCATCCAACCCATGGATCAAGGTGCTATTGCTGCTTTTAAAGCGTATTATTTACGTACGACCTTCGCTCAGGCTATTGCTGCTACTGAAAATGAGAAAACGCTCGGAGAGTTTTGGAAGGACTACAACATTTTGCAATGTGCAAAGAAAATAGCTACAGCATGGGATGAGGTTACAGGTCAGTGCATGAATGGAATGTGAAAGAATGTTCTGAAAAGATATGTGAACAGTTTCAAAGGATTTAATGAAGATGAAGCAATTTCTGAGATTAGTAACAAAACAGTGCAGATGGGTCAACAGCTGGAGTTAGAAATTGATAATGAAGATGTTGAGCAGTTGGTGGAAAGTGTAGCAGAAGAGCTAAGTA